AGAAACGTGGAACATCCTAATTCCAAAGATTTACGGAAAACGACCCAGCCACCATTAGCACTTTAGGCATGTACCGCCAGCCCTCAGCACTCAGGGCTCGATTGCTGCAGACTACCTTTTCCGCTGACGAGTGGCTCAGCAACGTTTGAGTGAATTGGTCGCTCGTATTTCCATGCTCACATTAGCTGTAAGGAGCCTTGCCATGCCTTAGGTACTAAGATGTTAACTTTCCGACTGCCCATCTGTTTATCGTAGACGTTCGCCTCTACCTTGGAATAACTTTAAGTTGTCCTAGTGTCTGAAAATGCTAAGACCTGGCTAATCAAAGCAAATATACAATTTTAAAATGACTTTGGACTCACATGCGGTAGGGTTCTACAGAAGCATCTGCGTTAAAATTGTTTGAAAACTCTGCGTAATAAACCTTCGAGTACGGTCAGAGTGAAGGAGTCTGTGAATGCCTGGGCTGGAAGTCTCTGAGACAATCATCGATCGAAATTTTGAATTACCGCTGATTTATGGCAAAGCGTGCACACCAACTGCCCGTTCCAGCGTCTGCTTTACTTCACGGGAGAGGGTAATCTGGATGAAATACTTACAGTTGCAACTGAAAATGCTGATGGAAATACTTGTATCATTAATTTGTCTCAATATTCCCGAATTTCTGGATAAGCTGTGCCTTAGGACGTGACTTAGTCTCAACAATCCACCGATTTCCGAAGAGCTATTGAACGCGCCAAGTTTTTGTTTGGCTGACTTATAAACCTGAGAGAGGTTTTAGACATTTGGGAATGAGCCTATAATTTGGGTAATTTTTTCAATCAAAGAAGTAGTTATTTAGGCAATAAGTAAGGGCAAAGTATTGAAGAAAGTGAGGGAGCAAAGCATGCTTCCGACACAGGCACTACCCTAGGCCCAACACGTGCTACACCGATTTTGGAAGGAGAGAAGTATAAGGTTTACGCTACTTAGAGTCAGGTCTTATCATTGGTTTTGTGGCCGCGACATAGGGGCCGGAATTGTCACTGACGGCGAGACTGGAAGTTCTCGGCTTTGCTTTGCAAAGGACTGCAAGCTAAGCAGCCAACGTTGGGCCAGGATGAGACGAGGGCCGGCGGGATAACTGCCTTAGCACTCCATGAAGGACTAGGTTTACAGCAGTGGAGACAAGAACTTCCTCGACTTCTTAGGCCTGTATCGCCTCAAGCGCATGCAGATCTCCGTCACTGGCATCCAGGCCGCGCTAGGAATTATGTGATCGCGATTCCTGAGCTGTCGGATCATGCACGCATGCAGCTTCCGGGATAACCAATCACAGTCATCCACAACCTCGGCTAGCACCAAATCAACTTGCCAGGCTGATGCTTGACAGTTCGGCCGTCGAATCCGACGATGTCCACCGTGTGCTCCACAGCAATGTGAAGCAGGCACGATGACTGTCGCGTGATTTAATCTATGATGATAGTGGACTTGCGTAGCATCTACCGCACTCCCTCCTCTTCCCCCACCTAAGTCCGGTGTCAGGACAGAGTCAAGATGACCGGATGCGGTGGAGGGCGCAAGTGGATGGTGCGGCGAGCTAGCAGCTTGGCGCTCCACTCCACACCTCCTGGTGCGCACACTAAATGACTAGGATTTTAACCAACAATAACAGCAGCACCACAAAGGGTCAGAAGGGGGAGGTTGATGGGTGGGCAGCCATGCCCACGACCTGCAAGTGCATCCTTCGTGTAGTTATCATACCAGGCTGCGAAGGCTATGGTTTGCAGATTTTCGCATGGTAGACTCTCACAAACCTTAAGACCCAGAAGGGTGATACGTGGCCCTGCATTTGTTTGGGCGCTCACCCTTCAAGATTGGGGAACCAAACCATCGTCGAATGAGAGGCACCACACATAAATCACACACGCATTTAACAGTTAATTTCTGAGGAAATTAAAAAGAAAAATTTTCTGAACTGGAGGATTTACAAGAAGGCACATGAGTGATGCTGGGGGAACCACTGAAGAGCCGAACCCCTCGCAGTTGTGCCATGCAGCCGCAGAATATCAGCAAAACACGCGTGCCTGGAATTTTAGCAGGTACCTATGCTGCTAGTATGGTATCTTCTAACGCTAAAACACACACACACTCCTCACATGGGTGAGAATGTCAAAGACCATTTAAGAAGGAGCCGTGACAGCCTGGCTCTTAACCCATTAGTCCGTCACTCGACACAGTCACACACGACGATAGTTCGACCATCGATTTCGATTATGTCCACCGTATGCCCCACAGCTGCAGCTGCAACGGTGGGAGCAGGGACGGTGACTTGCGCAGGGGTTCATAGTGCGTGTACACTTGCGTAGCATCTACCTACACTCTCTCTTCCTCCCCCGCCTGAGTCCGGTGTCAAGACCAAGTCAAGAAGACCGGAGAGGGGGGGGGGGGGCCGCAGGTGGATGGCTCGGACGGATCCTCGCCTTGGCGCTCCACTCCGTGCCCCCTGGTCCACACACAAATGAACAGGATTTTGACCACAAAACAATGGGGTGGTGGCAGTGGTCCAGTTGTGCGACGAATGCCGACAACAGGGTCCGCTAGCGCACCCCACAAATGTTGGCATTTGTTATTGCGCACAGATAACGCCTACCAGAGTCCGATGTGGCCCCCGTGTTGGTCCAGCGCATCTAACACGTGGCCCGTTTGGAGGGCAGACACGACAGTTCGACCATCGATTTCGACGATGTCCACCGTATGCCCCACAGCTGCAGCTGCAACGGTGGGAGCAGGGACGGTGACTTGCGCAGGGGTTTATAGAGCGGGTAGACTTGCGCTGCATCTACCTACACACTCTTCTCCTCCCCCGCCTGAGTCCGGTGTCAAGACCAAGTCAAGAAGACCGGAGACAAGGGAGGCCGCAGGTGGATGGCTCGGACGGATCCTCATCTTGGCGTTTCACCACACCCCCTGGTCCACGCAACAAATAACCAGGATTTCGACCAACACAACAGAGATTTGGAGGCTGGCACGGCCGAAGCCGCACCTAGGCGTGCCGCCGACGCCTGGCTCGGATCCCACACTGTGGTAGGAGTGCCATAAAGGCCACATTAAAAAGGAGCAATTGCAGCCTGACTCTCAGACCGCCTCCAGTTAAGGAGGAGGTCCAAGGTACCCCGTCAGTTGGCAACCTTCCCTGCCACGGCTTTTAGCGCACCATGATAGCTTCAAGCGCGTCAGATTGTTTATAGTGAGGAAAATGCGCTGAGTCGTCGACCTCACTCTCATTTCCCATCCCCACACCCCAGCCACTGTCCGAGCCGGTCAGCAGACTGGAGTGGGGAATGGGCGCGGTGGCTGAAATGGTCGATTGACCATGACTGCGCGCGCCACAGCACGACCGGGCCCCCCATACACACACAAACACCAGGATTTCACACAACGGGGGTTGAACGGCGTGTCTCTCACTTGCGTGAGAGGGCCGTGGAAGGTGCTGCTTCAGCCCGTCCCCAGCCCACCAGTCCGCCACTACACACAACACACACACAAAACGCGACGAACTGCGTGGACCGAGTGGGGCGTCAATCAGCAACCTTCCTATCCTCGACACTTGACGTGTCGAGATAGTCTCGGACTCAAATCACCCGTGCAGCCGAAGCCACATGGGGACCGAGTCGAGATGCACACTTCGCACTTGCGTGGGAGGTGGGAGTTAGGTGCTTGCAATGTGTGCGTGTTGATGTGCGGTGGTGATGGTGGAGGAGGGTAGGGAGTGTGTGGATGTGTGGTGTAACCGGCGGTTGTCTACCGCATTTCGTCGTGGATGCGCATGTGACCGAATAGGCCCATGCGGTGCCTGAAAGTGCGAGGGCAGTGTGGGCAGTTGAGACGAGCTTGGTGGGTATAGGTTGGTGCTCCAGGCACTGGTTCTCCAGTCTCTGTGCGATGGACTCGCAAATGACCGACCAGGCCGATGCGTGAGGTGAATGTGCGTGGACAGTGTCGACATGACAAATCGGCGGTGTCAGTGTCAACGACAGAGGAGGCGGTGGTGGTTGTGGCGCGGACGGATGGAGAGAGGGTGGGGGGGATGCACGATGGATGTGTTGGATGTGGTGGGTGTGTCGGAGTTGCGGTCAATTCCGCTCTCATGGATGCGCATGTGGCCGAATAGGCCCATGCGATGCGTGAAAGTGCGAGGGCAATGTGGGCAGTGAAGGCGAGTGCGGTGGGTGTAGGTTGGTGCTCCAGGCACTGGTTCACCAGGCTCTGTGCGATGGATTCGCAAGTGACCGACCAGGCCGATGTGTGAGGTGAGGGTGCGGTCGCAGTGAGGGTAGGTGTAGTCCTGATCCTCATCGCTGGAGTCGGGGGAGGTGGTGATGGTGTCGGTTGTTGCGCGCGGGACAGTCGCCTGAGCGGCCGTCGTTGGAGCAGTGGAGGAGGAGGAGGAGGAGGAGGAGGAGGAGGAGGATTAAAGTGGTGGTTCAGAAGAATTGTCAGAGTTAGTTGGCGGCGGAGGGGAGGAAGAGGCGAGCGGGGGGACGATGGTTGGTGCAGTTCGAGAGGCCCAGTTGATCCGAAGATGTCCAACAAGTCCGATTCGAGCCCAAAATGTCCGTTGACATCGAGGTCTCGTTGGGAGCGGCTGTGCGGCGGCGTTGCGTACTGGGCGAAGTTGGGATTTGCGGGCTTCGCGTATCACTTTGGCGGCAGCGATGCGGTTGGCTTCGTAGATCGCAGCGTCTGTCTTCACTGTCCTCCTCCATGCCGGTCGGTCGAGTGCGAGCTTTTCCCAGTTGGTCGGGTTGATTTGCAGACACTTCAGGGAGGACTTCAGAATGTCCTTGTGACAGCGAATCTGGCCTTCTTGACGGCGAGAGCCCGTCGCGACGTCTCCGTAGAAGAGTCGTTTGGGTAGTCGCTCGTTGTCCATGCGCACGAGGTGGCCGCTCCAGCGCAGCTGCCTTTGTCTCAGCATGGTGTAGATGCTGAGGATTCCCCTTCGTTCCAGCACATCAGTGTCGGGGATGCGATCCTGCTAGTTCAGCCTCAGGATACGACGAAGACAACTGAGGTGGAAGTGGTTCAGTCGGCGTGGCTGCTTTGTGTACACCGTCCATGTCTCCGTTCCTTATAGCAGCGTCGGCAGGATGACGGCCTTGTACATCTTTAGCTTCGTGCTCAGTTGGAGACCGCGACGATTCCAAACTGTGCTTTGGAGGCAATCGAAGGCGTTAGTGGGTGCAGGATATATCGGGATTATCAGAGTCGGTTTCGGTTGTAATGGTGACGGCGATGGAGCTGCTGTGTTTGGGCGCTCTGGGCGATGTTGTGTGGACTGGGCTAGACATGGTAAGCGTGCAAGAAGTGCTAGGTGTGTCAGTAGTGCGGCAAATTCCGCTGTCATGGATACACATATGACCTAGTAGGCCCGTGCGGTGGGTGAATGCGCGGCGACAGTGTGGACAGTGGAGACGGATGCGAGTGTATGTGGGTGCTCCAGGCACTGGTTCGCCAGTCTTTGTGCGGCGGATTCGCAAGTAACTGACCAGGCCGATGTGGGAGATGAATGTGCAATCTCAATGAGGACAGGTTTGAACCGAGTCCACATCGTTGGAGATGAGGATTGTGGTGATTTTTGAAGTTGATTAGACGTCGGACGTCATACCATCGGTGGCGGATTGCATGAAGACGTAATGTTGGTGGTGCTGGCCGCTGGAACAGGGCGGATGGTGGAGGCGGCGAGGCAGCGACGGTGTGATGGCGGTGACGTAGGTGGCCGTCGGCGCAGGTTTTGCGGCAGGGGCGAGAAAAGGGGAAGAGGTAGACGATGTCGGGTTGGTGGTGTATTGGATCCAAAGGTGTCCAACGTGACCGATTCGTGCAAGAAGTGCGCGTTGGCGGCGCGGACGTGTTGGAAATGTGGGATGACTGGCACTGAGGAGGCGAACAACTTGTGATCTGCGATCCGTTTGGCTTTGGCGACGGCGATCCGATTTGCTTCGTAGATTGCAACGCCGGTCTTCGTTTCTCTTCTGCAGGCCAGTCTATTCTGGGCGGGTTTCTCCCAGGTCTCTGGACTGATATGCGTTCGCTCAAGAAAATTCTTCAAAGTGTCCTTGTAGCGTCATTTTGGTCCTCCGGGCCGGCGAGCATCGGTGGCAACAAGACCATTAAACAGTTGTTTCGGTAGTCGTGTGTTTTACATCCTCACGAGATGATCGCTCTCAATTAGTTGCAGTCGCCTCCACATGGCGTGACTGCTAAGGACGCGGATCCGTTATATGGCTTTCGTGTCGGGGATCTTATCTGGCCATCTCAGTTTTAGCATTCTGCGAAGGCAGCTGAGATGGAATTGATTGAGCTTCTTTGCATGGTTGGAGTGGACGGTCCAAGTCTCCGCTCCGTAGAGAAGTGTCGTCAGGACGACAGCCTTGCACATCTGTAGCGAGGTACCAGACTAATTCACTTTTGACAATTTAGACATGTTTTTCTTACTGAATCGCTTGTTTTAACGTGATGGAGACAACACGGTTGGACAGCCCCGCGTCGCTGGCGTGCTCCTCTGTCGTGCTCTGCTGTCAGGTCATTTTACGCTTTGCATAACAATATTATTCACTAACCGGTTTTTCTTACTGTTATTAATACTTAGGGCTCCTGAGATATCATTCGTTAGTCCGTGAGAACATTATCATTTATGTCACATCTTCAGTTTGGTATCCGATTGAGGGCCGTGACGATTCCATACAGAGTTCTGCAGCCGGCCTGAGGCTTGGGTGACTTTGGAGATCCGGTGGGTAACCACATCGTCGATTCTGGTGCTGTTGGAAAGTGTGCTTCCGAGATAAGCAAAACTGCACGCGGTTTTGACTTGGTGGCCGTCGACAGTGATTCTAGGAAGGGTGCAGTGTTGCGTGTTGGGTGACGGTTGATGCACGACCACCGTTTTGTCCGTATTGATAGTCAAGTCTAAGTTGTCACACCCCGGCAGCGAGGAGGTCCATGAGTTATTGCGTGTCCATTTCAGTCGTGGTGTTGAGCGCGCAGTCGTCGGCGAAGAGCAGATCGTGGACCGTGGTCGTAGATAACCGCGGTCGGGCCTTCTTGTGCCTGTTGCTGAGAAGATGCCCGTCTTTTCCGTAGGCAATGCGTATTCCGGGCGCCCATATCAGCAAGCGTCCATCAGCATGCCAGAGAACATAAGACTGAAGATAGTAGGCGCGAAAATGCAGCCATGCTTAACTCCATTGGCCACTACAAATGACTAGGAGGTTGTGCCGTTGTCCGTGAAGCACTGGAGATACGCCTGACTTAGAACGAGCTCGAGAGGTCTGCTAGGCACGTCACTGCTTCCATCCAGGAGACAAGGCCGAGGAAAAGTTTGACGAGAAAAAAAATATGTGTAGTAGGCACAGTAGAGAATCTGTATGTGTGGTAATAGTTAATGATACAAGAAAGGACGGATTCCCTCAGGAGGAGGTGGCGCTGAAATGCCTGCTAAACCACCGGTGTAGAGTGCAGCGCTGTGGGCAGCTGCAGGGCAGGGTCGTGGAAGAGGCCAACGTAGCGAGTGAGTGAGATAGGCGTTGCGATGAAATTTAGGGAAAATGGAGCAGTGGTTACGTGGGGAAGGGGTGCCGGCTATTTCCACCGATAGGTGGTTACGCCATAGCCATTCTGGATCCGCGCCAAAAAAGTGTTCACTTCATCCAAACAAACTAATCCGATTCGTGGAACGTTACACGTCTCCTGTTGAATGTGAGATAACTTAAGTACTTCATTCTTAAGAGGTTCTAATATTTCCCGCATACTTCATGCAGAACTTATTGTCATATCCATATTCTCATGGAGGAGGGTCCAGAAGCGCATAAACATTTCAAAACTGGACTTTTAGGACCTTTTGGTGACTCACATTGCATTTGCATAACCATACCTTGAAATATTTCATTGGTTAAACTTTCCCAGGAATTAAAACTCACCTATCTAAGAAAACCACTTGAGCCCATCGCGGAAAACTTTCTGGGACAATTTCGGAGCGTCTTGTGGTAAATTGACTAGGTGTTTTCGAGCGTAACAACACTGACGTGATTATACGCCCACCGGGTGAGGTTAAGCATTGCGTTAGCCGTCCAGCTTACGGGGAAATCAGGCGTCTTACCGTCGGCAAAGCACACAAGCACCTTATTTAAAACCCTTGAGAGTAAAAAAGACCTAGTCAATTAGGTTTCACTTTTAATCCGCTTTTTATCGATATGTTACAACTGCTCTTCTTCCTATGAGTGCACAGCGCAGGCGCTTTGCAGTTTTGAGCTATTGTGAAACAATTTATGGCTGCACACAGCACCGATATCCCCACACTAACAAAACTGATGCCAACTAGGAATTAGACATGCCCCCCGATGACCTTCTTCAACTACGTAACGCAACCTCGAGGTATTCGTACTCAGTTGGTTCCCAGTATTCCAGTGAATAGTCTCTGATACAAGTAATGTGCTTCAGATCCAACTAAAGTCTAAAATCCGCAAACAGGTTTATGAGGTCTGTCGCCAGTATTTATCCAAACGTTCTTGCCTGGTTTTATCGTTATCACCGTGATAAACACTTGTTTTAGCTGCCTCACCGAATACCTTCAAGCAGCTGGACACGGGACTAAGAACCCCCTTGTAGAACACGTTGTCTTGCGTTAAATTATTGTGTCCAAGCACTACTACAAACTATAACTCTAACCCTCCCAACCCTAACGCTAAACCCACTGGAATGTAGTTCAAGGCCGCCTGTAGTGTGGCGAATACTTATTCCCCTTCTGCAGTGTGCAAGCCTCTAAATGCTTACCGTCTGGCACTTGAATGGAAAAAGCTCACGCTACCGAGTCTGTGTTTCGAAAACCTAGCTACCTGAACATTGCCCGAAGTGACAACATCAAGAAACGTCTGGAGTCGTTTATCGGACCTGGTGCAGTTGCGGACAAAGCAACTACGTCGGAGAAACCGAAAGACATCTCCGAACGCGAATGGCCGAACACGCTGCGGCGGTGCGTAAAAATGACGCCAGCTCTCATTTTTCGGCTCATTCGACGAGATTCGGCCAAGCATTCAAATTCGACGGGGCGGGAATTCTCTCAAGATGTGAAAAGCGCGTGAGCCGCGAGCTGCTTGAATCATGGTTTACTGGTCCCCAGTCCATTAACGAGCGCAATTACCTTCCTCTTCCATACTCAGTGTTGAGACTTCGCCTAGGCGGAGTAATTAGCCACGCGAGAACCGCACAGGTGAACACTTTTCCCAACTCCAGGGTCGGTGGGTCAGATGGTTGAGCAATCATCACCCCAATATCCAACGCACGTGATGAAATTGCAACAATTAACGACGCGAATGTCGGCAATCAAACAGTCAGCACACCAAATGCAACGATCTCTGATGAAGGGAGGAGGCGTAAATATTCATAGGTATGCGGTAGCATGGCGACTGCGTCCTATAAATACTGCAGCCCCTTGTGCATGAACCACTCGTATCTACTTTTGTTTCTGATGATGGGTCCGAGGAGGAACCCGAAACGTCAGGCTAATAAAGCTCTTGTCCCAGCGATCGTGTCTCCTCCTTCAAAAAAGTGACAACGTCTTTGGGTGCGAATTGCCCCATCTGGCTCGACGTTTGGAAGTATATGCCCTTTGGGAGGATTCTCCGTATTCACAGACGCGGTTTCTTTGCATGTCTTCAAAACAACATGCTGCCGAGATATGTTTCACATGGCCCCCAGATAAACACGGTATTTGTGAGACGGGCAGTATTCCAGCACTGCTGACGAAATATCTGAATGCCCCCTTAAGCTTACCGATGGGGGCTTCACACATATTGTCAAAGGATTGACGGCCCAATTTTGCACACCCATTCTAAATCCTCAGACCCAAGATAAGTTCAAATTAGTTAGTATTCGAAGGTTTTGGTATATTTTGTGTCAATTATCACATAGATTTATAAGTTATGGGAAAATAACGCCTTAGTCCTTATATACTCCCTACTATAAACAGTGACTGATGTCAAAGTTACAGTCAATGAAGCAGATATCTCGGTCATTTTGCGTTTGCAAACCCCCATCGAGAAACACGATCACATTTTTACGAATTTTTACCCGTCACTGAACGCAAATACATTTACGAACAACTTGATAGTTCGACCGCCGTTGCCGACGATGTCCACCGTGTGCTCCGCAGCAAAGTGAAGCAGGCATAGCGGCATGCGTGTGATTTAGTTTATAGGAAGTGTAGACTTGCGCAGCACCTACCCCACTCTCTCCTGAGTCCGGTGTCAAGACAGAGTCAGGAAGACTGGAGGTGGGGGAAGGCGCAGGTGGATGGCGCGGCCGAGCCCGCACCTTGGCGCTCCACTCCACATTCCCTGACCCACACGCCAAATGACTAGGATTTCAACCAACAACAACATCACAAAGGGTCACAAAGACGAGGGCCTGCATACCCAGAGGGAGGGTGTGCGCCTCTACCGGCAGCAGACCAGGTGCAAGAGAACTGCCAGCGCACACCAGTCTGCGAGGGCTATGGTTTGCCGATCCTGGAATAGCAAAGTCTTACAGACCTTTAGGCGTACCACAAACGGAATCGCGCATGCATTTGGTACCATCAGAAGTCGTAGGTAGATCAAAACGCCGATTCAATAGTATTGTTCCTTTAGCCCAACACCAACAATTCGAGAGTTTACACAATCGTGCGGCCTAAACATCCGCGCAATTCTTGCCAAAAGGACTTCACACAAGAAGCAAAAATAAACCCACACAATAGTACATGCATAGGCGCTAACATCAGAGTGGACATATGCACACACGTGGACTGGCAAAAGCAGCAGCCCAACACACAAAAATACGCACGGACAGGTGGCTAGAGCGTTGGCCGTACTAAAGCCTTCCCCTTTCTGTCGTGGGTTCAAATCCCACCGAGGCGCCAAGTTTTTCACAGTTGGGCCAAAGTGAACTATCTAAAATCTTCCATGACACCTTTGAAGTATATTTTTGTTTATTAGGTCAAAATGAAAAACAACCAGGTCTTAGTGGCCTTCCAGTCTCAGATGCAAGCCGATCTAGTACTATAAAACGTTCAATTAAGCAGAAGTCTGCAAAACCTGAACTCATTCACAGGTCCAGACTTAACACCTATGCGAAGACCCAAGCGCCAGAATAACGACACCGAGTATAAACATGATAATCAGCATGCCGTTGCATCAGTTGGACCTCTAGCAAGCACTCCTAATTCTGGCAGCGATAAAAAGTAGCGCATAACCCAATTTAAACAAAATAATTAACGTACCGCCACCCTCAGTTCAGCTTCTGGTAAGTACTGCTGATTTTGACACCCGCGATAATATGAACGCATAATAGCTAAAGCAGTTACGGCGGGAGGTCGGAAAAAAAACAAAAGGAGCATACCGAGGCATCAACACCCAACCAGAGCAGAACAATGACGCAGATCTCGGACCCAGTTACGTGACTCTATTAAACGGCAAAAAAAGGTTTCACCATAACGCCCAAAACGGTCGACCAGGAGCAGAAATCGTTCACCAAACGACATGCACAAAGCAAAAAGCGCAATTAAGTATGTCGGAAGTGGTGTAGTCCGCAGACAAAAATTCCCAAATCAGAAGTCAGGGAAGACGGACTGGGTTGGGTAACCTTTACTGCTGGGGAAGTGCGTGCACAAAGGCTCTGAAAGCAGTCGCCGCAAATGCACTCTCCAGGCAAGTAGGGGGATAGGTTCCGGCCACCGAGTGAATCGATCCACACATGTGAGGAAATAGGAACAGCCATTGGACAGAGGAAAGGTGCCTACAATGTCCAGGTGGACATAACTTAACCTTGCATCCGGAGTAGGGAAGGTGCCGATGGGAGCTTTTTTGTGCCGTTGGACCTTATCCCCTTGACGTCCGAGACACGCCCGTGTCCATGCTTTCAGGTCCTTGTGCATCCCACGCCAGAGAAGGCGGTCGGAAACCAGCTTGTCGGTAGCTCGACTTCCAGGATAAGAAAGGTTGTTTAGGGAGGAGAAGACCTTGCGACGGAGGGACGGCGGCACAAAGGGAAGGCAGGAAGTGGTGGAGTTGTCACATAGGATGCTACCGTTGCCAGTAGTCAGTGGCAGGTCTTGGAGTTGGAGTCCGAAAACGTCCTCGTCACAGGGAGAATCATCACGAAGTTTTTTGGCAACCCCCTCAGCTAGGTCAATCCCAGGAGAAAATTGGAGACGTGCGATGGAGGGCCTGGACAGTGCGTCAGCCACCCCATTGGGTGACCCGTAGATGTGGCGGATTTCTGAAGTAAACTGCAAGAAGTAGTCCAGTTGGCGAATTTGCCAGGAGTGGAGATTGTCGGGGGTGGACTTGAGAGCAAAGGAAAGGGACTTGTGATCCGTTAACACAGTGAAGTTCCTGCCCTCAAGGAGGTGCCGAAAGTGTTCCACGGCGAGGAAAACAGCAAGGCGCTCCCGTTCAAATGTGCTGTAGCGCGTCTTGGCAGGTGATAACTTCCTGGAGAAGAAAGCTGAGGGTTGGATGTGATCTGCAAGGTTCTGTAAGAGAACTGCGCCTACTCCAATACTGGAGGCGTCAACCATTGGGGAAATGAGAACATAGGGAGAAAAATGCGTCAGGAGAGTGGCGTCGGCCGGGGCAGCCTTCATCTTGTCAAAAGCAGCGAAGTCGTCTGCAGACAGCTCGAACGAACCTATGGGATCCGAGAGAAGGCTCGTGAGCGACAGGATGGTGTCGGCAAAGTGCGGGAGGGACCGACTGTAGAAATTTACCATACCCAGAAATCGCTGCAGTTGACGCTTGAAAGAAGGAGGTGGAAATTCACGGATGGCTGTGACCTTTGGTGGATGAGGATGCATGCCGTGGGAGTCGACCAGATGACCGAGAAATTCTAGGGGGACACCGAAAACGCGCTCAGAAGGGTTGGAGACAACGCCAAATTGTTGTAGGCGGTCAAACGTCTTTGCTAAATGCTCCATGTGTTCATCAGTGATGGAGCTAGCTACCAAAGGTCGTCGGTATAGGCGTAGACAAATGGTTGGCCGCAAAGCACCCTGTCTGCTAACCTCTGAAAGGTCTGGGAGGCGTTGCGGAGTCCAAACGGCGAGCGCAGGAACTCAAAGAAACCAAAGAGGGTGGTGACGGCCGCCTTTGAAACGTCCTCTGGGGCGATGGGAATTTGATGGAAGGCACGGACCAGATCGCTCTTCGAGAATACAGACTTGCCAAATAGGGCACCGGCAAAATACTGAAGATGCGGGACAGGGTAGCAGTCCGAGGCGGTAACTTTGTTCAGGATCCTGTAATCGCCGCAGGGGTGCCAGTCACCAGTGGCAGCCTTTGGGACCATGTGGAGGGGTGAGGCCCATGGGCTTTCCGACTGACGGATGATGCTTGCCTGAAGCGTATGCTCGAACTCGGCTTCGACGACAGGACGACGTGCAGGCGCGAGACGGCGGGACCGAAAAAAATACGAGAGGCCAGTGGTCCGGACGTGATGAACAACGTCATGTGGTGAAAAGGAAGCGCTGAAGTTGGGATGAGTGAGGCCGTGGTATTTGGCGAGCAGCTGCCGAAATGGATTCTCACGTTCAGGGTCCAAGATGGCGAGTTGACGGGAAGCGTCGGAGGAAGAGATACCCCAGATAGTTAGGTTGGTGGTCTTGTCGTGTAGAGGGGACTGATGGCAGTTGACCAGAAGATTGAAAGCGGTAAGGAAGTCTGAGCCGAAAATGGCACAGGAGATGTCAGCACCGACGCAGACCCAAAGGAAAAGACGCCGGAGACCGATGTCCAGAGAGAGGGAGCAGGTGCCAAATGGGGTAATCGGCGATGTGTTGACGGCCTGTAAGAAAAGGTCGGAATTGTGTCACCGACGATCAGCTGGTGTGGGTGCAATGACACTTAGCTGGGCACCAGTGTCAACGAAGAAAAGTCTGCCACTCCGGGTGTAGCGGACGTAAAATGTGCGGCCAGGGTTCAAGCCGTCGGGAAGATTGGCTGCACTGACCTTCGGGTTGACCCGTTTTACCCGTTTGCTCTGCCTGGAGGTGAAGGAGCAGGGGGTGATGTAGCGACGTGCTTTAATACCAAAAGTGGTGTGATACCAGCGAGTGGCGGCTGTGTTTAAACGAGGCGAATATGCAGACTGAAGTTGCGGGGTGGACGGCTTCGGTTGGCTCCGTGATGATGGAGAAACTGTTTGCTTCTGGAGATAAGCTATATCACCGGCCAGCTTGGTAAGCCCGATCTCCAACTGCGAAAAGGAAGACGCAGGAGTAGTTGAGGGAGTTGAGAATGCTGAAAGTGACGACTTGGAAATACCGTGCATCTCCATAAGCCGATCGGCCCTCTGAGTAAGCTGCATCGTCGAAAGAATGCCGAAGACGAGTGCCAAAATATGCTGCTCTTCCGGTGTAAAATCGTTTATGATCAACGCCTTACTTTATCGTAGTTTAGGAAGCGGAGAAATCGCTGTTCGCAAGGGGTCACCAATTGTCGGAAGTGGTGTGGTCGCAGACAAAAATCCCCAGATCAGAGGTCAGGGAAGACGGATTGGTTTAGACAACCTTTACTGCTGGGGAAGTGCATGCACGAAGGCTCTGCAAGCAGTCTTTGCGAGCGCGCTCTCCAGGCAAGTTGTGTTGCCTGTGTCCGCCTTCGAGGTGCTCACACCCAGCGCGTGTGTGCGTCTTTCGTTGTCTCAGCGTCCGCTAACCAAGTAGAAGAGAGACAGCGTTGATTGGCTTCGACCACTAGCGAGGCTAGTGGCCAGCCTCGTGCGTCACAGAAGCGGATCTACAGGGAGTGTGAGACGGGCAGGAATGCAGCGTGACAGAGGCGGAGGGCAAGGAAACGCGAACTGCCACAAGTACACCAGCCCAACCAAAAAGCTCTAACTATGCAGACCAATGAATTAATAATTTTTTAAATGCTTATCACGAGCAACTAAGTTTTATAATAGCCCACAGACTCCCCAAAATCCGCCTTCACGGCGTAGGAATAGGCCGAAGCGCTTTGACATTTGAACCATCTTAGCACCCAATGTTAACCCAACCGTCACCTATGCCTACAAATCTTATTAACTGAAACTACACCCAGATACTGTTATTACCTAGTTAGACAGCCTCCCTAACGGAGACCTAATTCACACACTAACTAATACCCACAAGTTCCGTCATAGTCCATGATTATGACTTACCACTGGAAGTTTCGTGCTCATGATACATATTTATTTTTCAGCTGCTTGTCCGGACAACTATGATGGGTCTTCTGGGCGACAAAAACGCGCGATGCAACTAGGTCATATAACAGACCACGAGGTTGAATGTGTTGTTTAATTGAAGTGGAGAACAGTACTTTGGCAGTAACCAGGACGAGGACGGTGTGATGGAATACCAGCTAAGATGTCGGTGTCCTTCTAATTTAAACTTCTGCCCCCCGCCTCCACAGTTATGGTTTTCGCAGATGGTCTCTTTCTCGCTCACACACAAAGTCAGCATCTCCATGCCCCCCCCCCCTGCAGTTGCCCCCAGCTCTGAACTCCCCACCGGTAATCTAAAAAAACACGACAGAGCGCTCCTCACTCCAGATGAGACTATAGCACATGCAAAATTCCTTCTTCTTATTTTATACTCTATCTTTATTACGCATTTGCACGGTTGTTGCCATAGTATAGTTTTGATGCGTTTCAGCTACTTGTGTCTATATCTTCTGCATATGTGGATTCGGCGTAGTGCTCATAATTCTGTTCAGCATTACGGAGAACTAGAAAATTGCCGCAGGTGTTTACGTATCCGTGTGTGTCTTAACCTCAATGTCTCCTGCCGCTATAGGCCTAGGCAACTGCCCAAATAAACTGACTACCGGTAATCAGCAGGCACCCTGTTTAACCAACTCCATGACACTTTCAATGCCAGGCCGGAATCAGATTTCCCCAAGTTCCACGACAGGCGAAATTTTCATGACCCTAATGCTGCCAAACTCCAGACTTGAACTCCTATATCGTATATCAGGTTTTTTCCTACATGCGCTTTTATGTTCCCTCGGAATTTAGGTTTTTTTGGCCTGAAACAAACTCTCGTCTCGCTCTCTATTAGCTAAGAAGACACTCAAAACAAGTGTGGTCAAACTGCAGCCGAAGTGGATGAGTTTGCATTGGTTTTTTTTCCTGTGTTCTAAAGAGACGGACAGCGTCCAAGAGGTGGTATAATAAACATACTGTCTTTTCTTTTTACAAAGTGCTGCGAGTTCATTTATAAAAAAAGTTTCAGAACAGGGCGAATTGAGGGGCTCGCGGGCAGAAAGCAATACGTAACGCGACACTGGAGAACAAGAGCGTTCAACAACAAAGAAGACAACACTAACACTAGAACTGCGTTCTTCGAAACTTCGAAAAGATCTACAAATTGACCTTATGAGTTCATAGCGCCTTCCCTAAGATCGAACGAGGGAAAAAGCAGGTCACAGTGCAGCGGCAATCTTTGAAGCCTACCGGATCGCCTCTGCAAAAGACGAAAGAGTTGCTAACACATCTCAAGAGCCAGGGTCGTACAATCCCGACAACCAATCTTTTCGATCACATCTACGCTATCGACGAATTTTGGGCGTAGGAATAGGTCTTGGCGAACATATTTAGCCCCAATGCAATAAAAACACGACAAGCCCACTTACTGCCTTCGGAAACGCCTCAATCGTCACCCCTTTCTCAACTCTCACGACGCCTACGACGATGACAATAACGCATGGCTACCGCCTTCCATCATTGTCGTCATCACTACTACCACCGTCGTCCCTACAGTCTGCCACGGGGACTCAATCCTTACCCGTCCTTGCTGCGATTGCACCTTTACAGCAGGCATCGACCTGGTCGGTTACTTTTGAATCTTTTGCACTGAGATGGCCTAGCGCGTGTCTGGAGAATTAAGATACAACCATCGTCCTCGTCTCAGCTACCCGCACTAATCATGCATCTTTAGTCATCAGATGGGCTAATTCGCCCACGTTTACCTCCATAAGATTCTTCGGTGAAATACCACAGGCCAATCCTGATCACCACACATCTACAAGGTACCCCATACACCACGCACTAACCCGTTCACACCATCTAACACATGCACATAATAGGCACCTCTAATGCATTTGAAAAACATTCTGTTTGGTGAAATCTAATGCTTAATCGAGTGGTGCGTAGCACACGTAGACGGCGAATGCAAATCTGTTAGCCATTATGGTCAAAAACAGCACTGCATTACTGACAGGTTCACACATTCGATTGGAGCGCGAAGGGGAGAGGAAGTGAGGTCAACACCGGGCAATCCGTTTCCATGGCACATCATCGGACGCGTTTGAAATCATAACTACGCGCTAAAAGTAGTGGCTTGGAAACATACTAAATGACAGTCTAACTCAGATTTCGCAGCCGCTCCTATGTGCTTGTGAAGTGGCTGGTTATCGGTGTGAGTTTAAGGTGACATTAGCATTTTCTTAACATGGGTTCTTTGGCGCTGCCTCGCATGTGAAATCCGGGATGGCCACCTCGTTTACGTGAAGACCTTGTGTGCCTTAAGCGGACCACAGGTCGCGTTTAACATGTGCAGACGGCCTATTGAAGTCTGTCAGCCATTCGCGTCCAATCCCTGCATTGGTTGGCTGACAGGCCCGGACAGCGGACAGATGCATGGAAGAAAAGGACACAGTACCGAAGTGGTCATTCAGGAGTCTCTAGGAAGCGGCGAACGAAAAAATTATCAGGCAGTTTGAAAAGCTCCTTATACAAATACGGTCGTAATCACAAATCTTAATGAACATTGTTTTCTACTGCCATACACATTAAGATGGATCAACCTCAGTAGAATTTAAAGACTGAATAAATCCCCACGCGCGTTCCCTTCAGTTCATGTTATCTAGGAAATAGGCGTGAGTCTGTGAGCACCCTATTTCCAACGTAAAATAGGGGGCAGTATAGAGAGAAAACGCGTGGGCTGAAATAGTTCTAGTGGGCCCACAATCTTGTGAAAAATTGGGCATTAGCCTCAAAAGTTGAGTTCAACCTCCCATCACTCTTGTGAATCTCGGAAAATAGATCTGTCAATATTCCTTCTAAACTTCCCCATGGATGGTGACATCACAAGGCGGAGATGGCATGCCATTATTTGACTGGTTCCATAGAGAAGGAGAACTCCCACACATAAAGGCTCGTCTGCAGAATGCTCACTTTGAATGGGTGACCTCGGAGGTCGGTCGGGGTAGCAAATTCAAAAGCCCTCAAGGGCAAGGCTGCAATCCAATCAATTACTGATGTGGAATACTTGTAAGAGAACTGTGCACGGTCGTCTATAACTTAAGGGCAAGAGGTTTATATTTGTTAGGCGGGTTGTTAAAGGGAAGGCGCCTTGGTACCTAACAATTTTCGTGACTATACCTTGAAGTATTTTGATACTACTTTGAACTTAAGCCATCCACTGTCTCCATGCGGGAATTCGTATTCCAGAATGCCGTCTCATGGATGTTTCGGAGATTTTGCGAAAGATATCTTAATGGAAATCAACAAATGCTTGCTTGACTGCGAGTAATGCGAACATTGAGCTTTTTATCACCCTCGAGCAATGAACGGTTGGTATAAAGGAGTTCGTCGTCAGCAAACCGTTGTTCTTTTGAGATTCCAGATCTCGTGTGGCTGCACGACCGAGAAAGTTGCTTCTTATGCTGGTAGATATGACAGGGTTGCCTGTTTAAAGTATGGCCCGGATAAAATTCCTGCACCAGCACTTAGAGATCTTCCAGGTGAACTGTGCGAACCACCGCCTATTATACCTCAAAAAGGTCATTTGAAGAAGCCGAAGTCTCGGAGGAATGGAAGTTTGCATTCACCACTCTGATCCATAAAGGAGGTTCACTACTTGACTGTGAAAAGTATTGTCCTTCCAATATGAGTTGCGTTGTGGGTAAAATAATGAAACGCATTATGAAAAGACATTTAATAGGATACCTCAACAGTATTTCGTGATGTCCAAAATGGCTTTCGTTCAGGACGCTCTTGCCTCGAGTGTGTACTTTTCTAGCATAAAAAATGGATATAGGCACCATATACAGGTAATCCAAGTGGATGTCGTATTTTCTGACTACATGAAGGCTTTTGATAGCGTACCACACAGGCTTCTTTTGCAGAAGATTTGAGATGTAGGAACTCGAGGAAGAATGCTTGCATGGAGCAAGAGTTTCCTCTCCTCCAGAGTACAGTGCGGCTTTGTTGGTAATTCTACATTGTAATGAGCTAAAGTGAAAAGTTGAGCGCCACGGGGTCCGTTTTCGGCTCACTAATCTTACTGATTTATATCAATGATTATATTGGCAAACTAGATTGCG